CGAAAAAATAAAAACAGAAACAAAAAGTAAAACATATGAATCGGTGAGGTAAAATTGTGAGGTGTGAGAGACTTGTCTACAAATCGCTAAGTGTCAGTTGACGGGTAATATTGGTATATTCGTCAGTGATGACGATATTGCTGTTCTTCCAATTGCTTTAGCTTTTTGTTTCTGCTTTAAGTGCATTGAAGTGCAATAAGGCAAAAAAAAAAAAGAGCGAATTAAAAGTTAAATTTTCTGTCATAGTTTTCAACATCTTATAGTTTCAAAAATTTGGAAAAAACTTGTAAAAGAAGAAAAACTGGAATAAAACATGACTTTTATCTGACCATAGGTTTGTTTTCAACTTGTTCTCTGCTTTTCAAAACACTGATTAATAAGAAACAATAACCCATATGATATGTGAACTAATCATTAATCAAGCTATTTTTTATCAAAAAATTTTAAAACGACACATTTTAAAGTTCAGTAAAAGTTCAAAAATTTTAAGAAGTTTATATCTTTCAAGTGTCAACTTTCATCTTGCTCTGCATTTTTCTTGGTTTGTACGAAAAAATCCACTGCACCGTCAGGTGACAAAATACTGTTGACGAAAGTGAAAACTGATGACAGCAACAGCGACCGGAACGGTGACGGCAATAGCAGCAGCAACAATAATAATATTCCTTTTGACTCTGATATAACTACCATTTTTAATTGTTTATTCAAAAAATTTTAATAACTTACTGTCTCTACAAAAACTACATTATTATTTTTACTTAATTTTAAATTTTGTTTTTTTACTTCTCATAGTCTGCTTTATTTTTGCTTTAAGATTGATATCAGTTCTTGTTATTGGTTTCAACACAATTGTGTGCTACGGACTTGTGTTTTCTAATAAATTTCTGGTAGCGTGCGATACATCAGATATATAGCAGAACGCCTTCTTTAAACGTTAGGTGTCTAAGAAATAAAAAACATAAGAAATAAAGAATAAAAATTAAAAAAAAAGGAAAAAAAATTAAACGAATTTTTCAACAGCTGGTCTTTTTTCAACAATTAGTTTTCAAGTTTTTTTTTCATTTTTTGCTTCATTAGACATCAAATAGTCATTGAAATTAGATATTAAATACCTGTTTGCTCTCAGCTTTTATTCTCCTTCCAGAAAGAACAAGAAAGAATGCCAGTAGCAGAAACAACAACAACAGCGGCAGCAGCAAAAACAGCAACAGCCATAGCAACAACAATAGCCAAAATATTGGTGGCAAAGCTTTAACTACTATATCAGGAAAGCCCACTGTTCAGTCAGCACTAACTTCCAATGTATCTGGTTTCCTTTATTCGAAGTACTATACCAAAAAACATTATTCCTCTTGCAGCTACTGAGGTAACCGTTAAGGTAATACAAAACAGTCTACAGATGACTGACTGAGTGATAAAATCAAAAAGAAATAGAAAAGAAACCTACATTTTTCAGTTGATATAAGCAAAAAAATATTAGTAGCTGAACAAAAAAAAAAACGAGTTGTCATTGCATAAAAACGAGGCCAAAATATTGCTTTTTGAACAAAAAAGAAAAAAACCGGATGGAAAAGCTACAGGAAAATTTTGATGAACACTTTAAAGCATTAAAACAGACTGTTGTTGTAGCAAAACTTTTATAAAGTGTCAATTGCATAATCATCTGTAGCCATTAGACTATGAGAGGACGTTGTTAAACAGCAGCGAAAGAGGAGTGGAGTGCTGAGAAGACCAATTGAAGGCATCGATAAAAATAAGATTTTTTCTATTATTTCATCAGTAATGATTTAACACTCTTTTTTTGTCAGAGTCTTTATTGTTTGACGTTTTCTTCTCTTTTTGCATATAACAATTAAAGTGGTAGTCATTTATAGGCCAAAAAAATCAGAAAGAAAATAAAGAAGAAAAAAAAAGAAAGAAGAAAAAAGGAAAAGAAAAACAGGAAAAAAGGAGTAGAGAAGAAGAAAAAAAAAGAAAAAGAAAAAAAGAAGAAAAAATCAGGAAAACAGAAGAAAGAAGAGAAAAAGAAGAAGAAAAAGAAGGAAAAGGAAGAAAGAATGAGAAGTTGAGGATGATGTTGAAGGAACAAAAACTCCGTGCTTCCAGTTCACCAAGGCACTGTGACGATGATGTTTGCCGTTGACGGTCTGTCGTCAACAACGCACTCAAAAATGGTTGCAAACAGCGTGATTAAGTCTCATGCCTCTGAGACGACGAATGCACATTCGAAACCGACAGAGTGGGCCGCACAATCACCAATAAGTACATTGGACCGCCCACACATCGGCATTCAATTGGTCGTTTAGAGACATTAGCAACTGACAAGCAATTTTCATGCTTAGAATTTTACGATTACGGTTGCAGTTATGTTTTCAACTATGCAAAGCAAAAAACAGTCGTTCATCGTTGATTTTCGTGGTCGTAAACAACTTATAACCCTGTACTTTGTTATTTAAGTTTATGCATACCAAAAACAAATAAATTACTTTTGATTTTTTTTACACCTTTACTTTTCTTTCACATTATTACTGCTAGAATATTTTTCATTTCCTAAAAAATACTTTTTAAAATGCTTATTCAATTAACTTAATCTGGCAGACGTAATATCGGTTTAAACACACGAAAATTAGAGAGGAATGGAAAAGTTTGGGAAACTCAACAGCTGAATGAGCAAAAAAGTTTTATTATTTTAAAAAAAAAAATCTTTTTAGTTTGCTAGAAACAACTCATTTTCATTGCTTTTAAGCGACATCATTATTGGTGTAGTTTTTGTAATCAAATCTTTCTTCAATTGTCTTTTTTTTTTATTTATCTTCTGTCGTGTTTCTGTCTGATGATGCTTTATACGTGTTCATTTGTGGTTAAGGGAATGATTACGTTTAGCTGGTGGGCGAAGCTTTGATATCAGCAATTATAAAACAGAAAAACTGAACCACAGGAAAGGAGGGAATAAGACAAAATAATGGAATAAAAAAGCAATCATTGATTGGCTTATACTTTTTTTGCATCGTACGTCTCAAAACCAACACAAATAGTTTGCATTCATCAGTCAGAGATTTTTTAAATAACTTGAAAAAAAAACCAAAATTTATCAGAAATGATTATGATAGTTCTAACAATAGTCTCAATGTCAACATTATTTACAACTTTAAAGCAAAGAAAAAAATGGAAGAGAAAGAATTGAAACAACAGTTATATCCACATTTTGCATTTTGTCCTATATTTAGAAGTTTACTCAAGTGAGCAAAAAAGCTAGTAATTTTTGCAATCTTAGTTTAAAAATTCTAACCAAAAGATTGGGTTTTTTATAGTTCAGTTGTG